CAGTAATAGCTCTAACAATAATATGAATAAAATCTAAAGTAATTGAGGTAGACGATCAAGTAAGTCACATTACCCTTAGTTAGAGATAAAGTAACCCAAATCTTGAATTGCAGGGGTACCAACATGTCATAAAATAACTGCAGGCCTCCTATCTGTGTCCCATTGTATTTAAAAAACAAGTGATGCTATTATGTGTAAAACAAGACTGGTTTTGAACTGACTGCTGCACAATAGAAGAGTGTTAATAAATCACCTGTATTTCAGTGTGTTGTGTTTTGTGGGTTGTGGGTTTTTTTTTTTTTTTTAATGAGAGAAGAAAAAGCAAAATGGATGGGTGGAGGTTTTGTGGAAAATTGGCATGAAATTTTTTTTAGAAATTCAGTTATGTAATAATTGTTGGTAGTCCAACACTCCTCACTCCCCACTTACTCCTTGGGTATCATGGTGGTGTTTTTCATACCAGGAATCTTTCTGATTTTAGTTTTTGTGTCACAAGATGGGTCATTCCAAGCTAAATCAAAACAAACAACTCTGATTCCTAAACAACAATGCAAGGTGGACATTAAGTGAAGAAGAGATCTGTTGAGGTCTCTGTAATTATTGTTATTACTGTTATTTGGCATTATGTGAGATAAATTGATGGGCGAGCCTGCAATATGTTGCCTCAGACTTTGCAAACTCAGGGAGGTGTTTTTGCACTGTTGACACTTTCACATTTTCTAAGGGTGTTCCGTAAACTGCAAGATAAAGTATCTTCAGAAGGATTCATGTCATCTCACTTGGGATGTGCCCTGTGTAGACTCCTGCAGTTAACTAGTCCTCTAACCTCCCTGTAGCATCAGTGAAGATAAACAGGCACTTTCAGGGTGAAATTAATCTGTCCTATTTTAGGTGCATGCCTTTGGATGAGCTGAATCAGTAGGAGCTGAAGTGCTTGCTTCTCTCTCTCCGTTGCCTTTAAAGGGAGCCTAAGCAGCTGCCTCAGTTGCATACAACTGAGTAAGCATCAGATAGCTACAATGAAGGCATCTGCATTCAGTTAGATGCATCTCAATCCTATGATTAAAACAAAATCACAAACCAAACAGAAGTAGAGCTAAAAAGAAAAAAGAAGTTAATGTTCTAGGAAAACATTACAGGTTTTGGTGGGAAGGAGGATGGAAGAGCTGTGCTTTTTCTGGGTCAGCCTTTTACACTCTTTTCCTTCCCCCACTCCAGCGCATGCACAGGTTATTTCACCTTCACAAGAATGAGCTGTATGTAGTTCCTGGTTTCTGTTTTGTCTTGGTGACTGTTTTCTCTCATGAGTACTGTTTAGAATACTGACATAGTTTTTGGTCCTTAAAAGAATAATGTTGGATGAGTTTACAGCTCATTTGTACCTCTTCACACATGGCCCCTTGCCCTTACCTCCTCGCTTCTGCATAATTCTGTGTGTTGGTTTACTGATTTTTATATTGTCCCCTTTGCTGCAACTGCTTCACCAGTTCATTATTTTAAGCTCTTTTCTTTGCTATCTGCTCAGTACAGAGCATCCACCTTCAGCTAGCAAGCGTTCTGCCCTGTGTTTAGAAAACCTTTGCTGGTTTTCTTATATAAAAGTATGACAATGTATAATAAACTGAGATGTGATATATGTTATATGGCTGTATATATAGAATGGATAATGTCACACCATTTTTATATCTCCACAGTTCAGAAATTCTTGGGAACTAGGCACTAGCATAGGGAACTTCTGTAACAGAGTGGGGAATCAGTCCCTGTATGGCCTTTTTGGATAATGGAGTGGAAATCACCTCACTTTAGATGTTTGCAGTGCAGATATGTACATGTGAGCTAGTCAACCCAGGATCCTTTTGGAGTGAATTGCAAGAGATGGATGCTTTTGGGGTACAATTCATCTGATCTGTTTGGAGTTCTACTTTAAGATGAGATAAATTGCACCCAGAAATGACTGGTGCTGTTCGAGGAAGTGTAGGCAACTAAAGTAATTGTAGACACAGGTGCTGCAGGTGCCTGCATTTAGTCAGGTGTATCCCATCCTGTGTGGCTGCATAACAGTACTGTGTAGTATGCAGTAGTCACATTTTGTGAGTTCATACTTAAGACTCACATTTTTCTCCTGTTGAAGAAAATTCTATTTGGTACTTTCTTTAGTATAAGATTACAGGATGCAAGTTGCAAGTGAAACAGTTTAAGAATTCGGCTATAATAAAACTGAATCATTCAGTAAGTCAGAGAATCAAATTAACTTACAGTAATTGTGACCTGTAGTAGTGCCACAGGATCAAAAAATATGAGAGTGAGTCTTTAAAATACAGTTTCAGTTAATCTGAGATCAAGGTTGCAATCATGTTATTTTATGTTGGCATGAAGAGAATTAGACTCAATGCTTTACCTGTGACTCTGCATTTGTAGATTTTGAAGACAAGTTCAGCTCACGTATAAAGAAACTGTGCTCCTAATTTTAATTATGGATGGTGTTTGCCATTGTGTGAGTGTGCAAACAAGTTTATTCAGGGAAAGAAAGAGCATAAAGTTACAGCGCTACAGCCAGTGTGCGTTTTCCCAAGAGAACTTTGCAGAAAAGGACAGTGTGTGCAGTTAATTTCCATGGAGTAGGTGATACATTCTCCTTTCCTTTCCTATAGCAGTTCTGAGGCTGAGGAAGCTTTGACTGTATCATAGGTAATATGAGGAGCATGCTGGATGAAATTATTTCACTGTAATGTGCCTCTGTTTCCCTTTAATTTGCAGGATATTGATATCTGTATTTTAGAAACACTTAGGAGATCTGCTCATGAACAATACTTCACCAGAGGCAGGTAGTGCCATTAATCACTGACTGAATATCCAGTTTATTTGTTTGAATTATTAAGATGGGATACAGTGGCTTAAGGTGATTCAGATTTTACACTGACAGGAACATGGGTACCTTTTTCAAGACAAAAGAATTGCTTTCCACTAAATCTTTTAGGCCAAGGTGTTCTACTTCATGACAATGTACTGAGGCATCCACTGCCTGGAGGAAAGCACTTAAATCATCAGTAGATGCCCATTCTGCCCTGCATGAGAGCCAGGTTCACTTCTCAAGACTCTGTATGTCATTCCTTGGTTGGACATATGTTGTCTGAGCAGAAGTGGCCCCGAGGGTGAAGTGAGGAGCAGATAAGTTGCATGTCAAGGCATTCAGGGAACGATGCTGAATGGTTCCAGAGAGCATCCTCTACACCAGCACAGATTTTTTATGATTTAGGACTTTTCTGTAGGTTTAGGTCTAGATCAGAGAAGCTTTTAGAAGGTACGGAAGCGTAGGTCCTCCGGACTCCATCTAGTTCACTGCTTGCTAGGTGGAGAGGCAGTGAAAATGCTAGCGCATTGGGCCATTCAGGTGACCCCAAGGCCCCAAGTTCCATTGCATCCGTAACTGAACTTACTGCACATGCCTTCTTTATTTCCCAGGACGTTCTGGTTAGGGCCATCTTCCAAACTCTTCTCTTCAGTAAGCCCCTCTTCCTTATGCCAGTTGCTTTGCATACCTTTTGCTTTTTAATCATTCTCCCTGCAAACCCTTTTTTCTTTATCTCTAGTCAGAGTACCAGTGTTCGATGCCTTTCCTTCCAAAAGCTGTGAATGTACTGATTGCTTCTGCTCTTCTTAAAAATATATTGCTGTTCTCTGTTCTGTCTGCTTTCAACATGCAAGAAAGGTTGAAATAAGTGTTTTCCTCCTTTTTCTTTCTCCCATTTCTTTTCCCTCCACACCAAGGACTACATTTGCTGCCATTTCTCTTTCCTTCTCCCAAAGACAGTTTTTTCCCCTCAGGGTTCTCTGTTTTTCTGTTTTCCACTTTTTCTTCAGAATCCCTTTCCTTCTCTCTCCTTTCCTATGCTATCCTTCAGAGAGTAAGTCAAGAAGGCATTTGCCTTCTGTGTTTGGGGAAGATGGCAGAACTGGGACAATCATATTGTTCTTCTGAAAGCTGTAAGTAGGACTTCTGGATTTCCTGAAGGTAAATAATTGGTAGAAAATACTTCTAAAGTAGCTGTGAAGATGGATGGATCCTAAGAGACCTGCCTTGTGCCTTGGATCTCCTATTCAGTCATTAATTGGTTTTTTATTTTTTTTATTGTCTAAGGGCCATCCATATGTCCATCCTATGTGGCTAAATATTACCTGTGAGACAAATTCAATATTGTTTTTTCTTTTTATGTGTGTCTGACAGTTCTTGGTCTCTGAGTAGAAAACAGCTCTGTGAGCAGGATCATATGAAGTTACTTGCTTATTCACTTCTCACAGAAATCAGTAGAGTTAAGGTGCCTATGTTAATTCATGCTGTAGCTACTGTGTGAAGTTTAAATTCTGAGAAAGGAACAAGGTGATCCTGGAGTACTAACAAGTGAGTAGAAAAAGGGCTGTTTGATGAGTGGAAGAATGTTTTTGTCATTAAGGACTTGGGCTGACCTCTTTTATGTATTTTGGTTATGGGACAAACATTTTGGGTTACCCTGACCAAGTTACTTATCAGATAAATAGCAATTATCTATTTCTTAGATTTCTTTTTATCTGCTTAGACACATCTGAGAACTTTACTCATTTCATTCCTCTGGTAAAATAAGGGTAATAATGCTTCCTGACCTTTGGTTTTGTCTGTTCAGATAATAATCTGTTTCAGTAGGGAATAGGTACTGTGTGTTCCAGATATGATTGGTCTCCCAGTAAGATTAGGTACCACCATAAAAACATAGCATAGAGTTAATAATGCAAAAAAAATCTTTTGGTTTATCCACTGTGCAATTATTATAAGTAATTACAAACATCTGCATTAATTTTTTCTTGGTTTTTTTTTTCCCCTTCAGTTACAACTGCATTATCTTCTCTCTCTCTTTTTCATTCCAGCACAAATAAAAATGATACTAATCACAAGTTTCTTAGGTGATAGTGTTGGATTGAAATGCCTACTTCAGATTGTTATTATTCCATAATATTGACATGCAGAAATGGAAACTTTTTTTTTTCTCTGTTCTTTCCCACAGGGTGCAGCTCTAATTCGAATGTTGGCTAACTTTATGGGTCACTCTGTGTTTCAGATGGGTTTACAAGTAAGTAAAGGTGTTTCTGTCTTTGACTGGCTGTGTACTTCTAGCAGTTTATCATGCTCTCTCTTTTTTCATTTTGATCTGTATTGCATCTGTTTGTGGAAATGTTTCTTCAGGACCATCTGAGACACCAACATGTCCCTGATGCTGAATTTGATGGAAGATGCTGAGTATTGTAACACACATTTTGGTGTCCCCATTTTCACCTGTATTTCTTGGTGTATCAAACGATTGCACTTTAACTGGCACACAGTTTTGTGTCAGTTTTGTGTAGATTGCCACGTAAAAGCCATTTTATCCATGTGGTAACTGCGTCAAGGGCTAGCTGAGGAAAGAGCTACTTCTCTTCAATTGTGTTTGTGTGCTATTTGAAAATAATGACAAGTGATGTCAAGCCACCTAGAACATACACAGCCCTAAAATGAGTCATGCTTTTCAGATAAATATTTTTGCCTTCCCTTCCCCCATAGCAAAATCCTTGAGCTTTATTTTTTACCTCTGACAAGCAAGAGTGCTCTCTGCCTTAAAAATGTTTTGAAATTTCACTCTGCCTTTTAAAAGAAATTTGAAGAGGTAACATTTCTGTAGGAAGAGAAAGAAATTCAACATGCTGATTACTAAGGATGAACTCTTTTCAGCAATAATACAGTGCAAATGAGTGTTTCGTAAACTACTTAAAAACAAACAAGCCAAAGCATAAAAAACAATGCAACTCCCTCTATTCCATTGAAATCTGCTTGAGTAAATCATGTTACAGGCAGCTGTGATTGATGAATTATGTATGATGCAGCCTGCTACTTAGAAGTGTCCTTTAAAGTAAATTGATGTTCACCTGAAATACAATTATGCTAAGATGGAAAGAGCAATCAATCTTATCTGTTCTTAGTAAGCTTTTCATTTTGAAATTTAAATAAACTACGTCTAGGATCAGGTCATTTTTTAACAGAATAATTCTACCTCTAACCAAAATAAATTGGAAGATAAAATATAAAACAAAAGTTCAATAAATGCATTGGTTATGTCAGAGAGGTGTGTTCCATGCAATAGGCAATGAAGGTAAAGCTGCTGGGGAAATGCAGCTTTTTGGAGAGTTTACAGGACATTCAGGGTTTGCAGCATAACTCATTCACAAGACCCATTTGGATCATTTTCTTAGTTGTAACAGCAGGTCAGATGAGTTAGATAATCTTCTTATCCAGATAAGAAATCTTGAAATCAAAAGTTCCCTTCATAAAATCTTGTATATGCCGGGGGTAAAACCCTCATCTCATTTAAGCTGAAAAGGCTTTTGTCTTTAGTCCAGCAAACTCCATATTCCAGCCAGAAACTTCTGCCTGCACAGATCCATTCATATGGAAATTCAATAGCACTTCTTTTGTCAAAAAAGCATTTCACTCAGGGGTTTAGAAAGAGAAAGTTTTAATACGTACATCTTAAACTCTTTTTTTTTTTTTTCTGTTTTCTTCTATGTTTTTTTGGGAAATAACAGTGTGCAAGTTGTCCTAAAATAAATTTAGAAAAAAGTTCAGATCAAAGAATAGGGCTGTGCAGGGATTAAATAATCATAATTACCATGAAGTTGTAATAAGAGTTTTGTTTTCTGATTTGAGTGATTTCATATTATTTCTGGTTTTCACCAGTTCTGCTCTAAATAGAAACTCTTCTGTTTGCTAATGAAAGTCTATGAAAAATCTGTGAAAATCTGACTAGTGAAAGTCTTGGCATCTGTTCAGTAGGCAGATGATATTCTAACTTCTTTTATAAAAAATGTTTGAAATCCAGATAGAGATTTTCCATGTGTATTTCTCCAAGTTGAACAAAGTAAAACATAGGGTTCATAAGCTTATTCATAAAGTACAAATTATACAATTGTAAATGTCTGTCCATTATTCAGTTTTTTGTGTTTTGTGGATCTAACAAGGTAGTGTTCCTGCACTGCAGAGCTGAGAGGCTAGCTTTGCTAATGATAAGAGGAACTGGAGGACTAATTTACCCCTTCTATCATGTGTTGGTTTAGGCTTTTTAATTCTTTAACCCCTGTACCATTACGTGGAATTTAGCATTTTGTTGCCTTGAATTCAGTTTTATCATGGGATTCTAATGTTCAAGTAAATGAGCTTTCTCAAGGGTAGCTGCAAAATCAAGTATTACTACTATTTATAAATCTCTTAAAATAACGAATACTCTGAAAGTGCGCTTGATGCTTCATTCCTCCTGGGTTATTCTAATGGTTTGCTGAGTAACTGAGTTCTGAAGGACCTTCGCTTTTTCTGATTTGCTTTGTTTCTCATTAGCCTCCAGCATGTGGAACACATCGGTGTTAATAGTATTAATATTATTTCAGTTATTTTTAGTGTATTAGGTATGTCCTTAAGTGTTTCATAGAGGTTAAAAAAAGTGTATTTCTGTAGTCTTATTACACTAGCATAAACAAAAATGAATAGCCCTTTATTTGTGTTTGCATTGAGTGTGGTTTCATTGAAATCAAGGTATGATTCATCATCTAATTAAGAGCTACAGAATTACAGCTTTTATATAAGAGAAACTGAAACAAATACGCTAACTTTTGGGTTACAGAGAGGAAAAGATAAGGTTTAGAGCAAGAAGCAAATGGGACAGCTACCTTTTTTGTTTGTTACCCCTTTTTTCTTAATCTAATTCCGTGCTGTCACCTGGTGGGTGGGCTTTTGAAGAGCAGCTCAGGGGAGAAAAATCTATGTGAAATAAAACAATCAATTGTGTTAAAAAGAGGAAGAAAAAAGTTGATAGAGGGGAGTGGGGCTCTTGGCTGGATATTGTTTAACAATGACTATGAGCTGAAGCAAATGTACAAAATTGCCTATGATCCCTACAGTTCAGCAAACCATTCTATTGAAGAGTCCCCAAGGAGGTAAATCTATAGTAGTGATGCTCAGTTTTACAGTGTATCAGGGTTTGGAGAGATTCATATCTGTCGAGAATAACTATCTTGTTCCTATCACAGTAAATATACTGTGAAAGACCGTTGGATTGTAGTGTGGAAGTTCCATGATAAAACTGCAGCCAAGAGGCTGCCTAGTCAAGGTAGATTTTCTGGAAGCCCTTCAAAGACATGTGATTTCTTGAATCATGTGGCATTTTCAAACAGAAGATTTAGTAACAGAGACAGAACTTTCTCGCTGTTTCCACATAGTAGTCTGTAGACAAAACCAAAAGAGAACATATTTATATTGGCTGTAATAAATAATTGAATAATGTAATAGCCACAGCTGGTAACACTTGAATACAAGAATTTCACAGCTGTTATTTTGTAGAAAATGTCTAATAAGCCCTTCCTTCTCACAATAAATGATTTCTTTCTTTTTAAAAGTCCTGATGTCTTTCATGATATACAGAGTTTCTTATTCTCCAGGGAAATTCGAGAGGTGCACATCACTAAATGCCAGTACTCTTCTTACAGAATGGTGTTAGTTTTCAGTCAAAAAGCCATTAATCATTTAGGACAGCGATTAGAGGCTTGGTCAGCAGCACTTGCTCTGATTATGTTTCTGAACTGCATAGATTGGTAGAGGAAGAAGCTGTAAGTTGGCCATATCATTCAGTCATCGCTCAGGGCAGTGATACACAATATACTATCAGATTTGTGTGAGATTTTCATCGGTAGGCTGTTGTTCCCAATCTCTGGGCTTGAAATAGGTGGTTGCTTACATGACTGCTGTCACTGTATTACATTTCCTGGAAGGTTTTACTGCTTTATGGCAAGACATATTTTTTTCATATTAAATATAGAGAGAAAGCCCAGTGATTTGAAGGTCTGGTACTGGTGTGTGTGTGAAGAGGCACCTCCAGCTCTGTAAGGAGATGTTTTTGCACTGTTCTGTTTAGTTTTTCTTATATTTGGTTTGATTATTTTGGAGCCTCATCTCTATTACTGTACGTTTGTCAACACTGCATTTCATTTGCCATGTGGCAGCTCATTGATCACATAGATCTGTATCTTTTTGAACTTCACTTGCTGCTTTATATGTGTTCATCACTCACTCTGATTTAGTGCATCATCAGCAGTTTGAATTAGTTACTGTAGGAATCTATGCTTCTGTGATAAATTAACTGCTTTTGTACTTTAGGCTTCACACTGTACATTTCCATACAGTGCTTTGGATATATGCTGCCTTTTTTTCGTGCTGTTGAGTGGCCACTGTATTGAAACAAATTGGTCAACCTTTCAAAGGAGCTGTCTAGGGAAATGTGACATGCAAGCTGTTAAATACAGCAAGGGTCAGATTTCAATCAGTTTTTACGATCATAAAGCTGACTAGTTAGAATTTCTTTCATCTACATTGCTTAGTTTTCCTGCTTTTTAGACCTCTGCATTCCTGTGTTCTGTTTGAATTGACACAGTTAATGTGAAACCCGATCAGAAACTTTCTAGGTGCAAAATAAAGCTCTAATGTGCTATTTTCCGTATTGTTTGGTACTTCTGCCTAAGAATCTAGTAGTACAAGGAATGTATTAAATCTATTTTCACAGTATTATTTCATAATCTCTTTTTACATAGTATGTGAAACAGGTTTCATTGTGCCCATTTTATGCTACCTATTTATTATATCTTCATTCCCAGTTCACGACAGTTAGCTGTATGCTGTTTAAAATGAGACATCATTAGAGACTTCATAATAATAAAACCAAAAAAAAATCAGGCACTTTAGGATCAGGCTCAGTCAAACAATGAGCTGCAATGCTGTCATCAGATCAACAGTGCACATGGAACTACCTGGAGTCTTCACCTGCTCAGTGGGAAGATGTAACTTTTGCCACCAGGCAGGAGCATCTTTATAGCTGGAGTACCTCTGGTGTTGCAGCTTACCTTGCTGGTGCATTCAGTTGAGTAAAGTACTTTTCAGCTAATTCTTCGTCCATCTCCTCTGGTTTAGAAGAGCACAGAGTGTATGACCTTGATGAACATCAGAGTATCACCATAGGCATGCTAGCTATGACCTGGCCTTCAGTTTGTTTCTACTAAT